TTGACGCGCCCCTTCCTTTAAGGGCCGATTAAGGGGTAAGGGGTAAGTTGCACACATCTGGAACCCGAGGCTGCGGCTAGATATTGACCCGGGGAATCGATTGCGACCCTTATTTTCGCGATCAGACGAACCCTTGAGGCACTTTTGACGCGCCCCTTCCTTTAAGGGCCGATTAAGGGGTAAGGGGTAAGTTGCACACATCTGGAACCCGAGGCTGCGGCTAGATATTGACCCGAGGAATCGATTGCGACCCTTATTTTGGCGATCAGACGAACCCTTGAGGCACTTTTGACGCGCCCCTTCCTTTAAGGGCCGATTAAGGGGTAAGGGGTAAGTTGCACACATCTGGAACCCGAGGCTGCGGCTAGATAATGACCCGAGGAATCGATTGCGACCCTTATTTTGGCGATCAGACGAACCCTTGAGGCACTTTTGACGCGCCCCTTCCTTTAAGGGCCGATTAAGGGGTAAGGGGTAAGTTGCACACATCGGGAACCCGAGGCTGCGGCTAGATATTGACCCGGGGAGTCGATTGCGACCCTTATTTTGGCGATCAGACGAACCCTTGAGGCACTTTTGACGCGCCCCTTCCTTTAAGGGCCGATTAAGGGGTAAGGGGTAAGTTGCACACATCTGGAACCCGAGGCTGCGGCTAGATATTGACCCGGGGAGTCGATTGCGACCCTTATTTTGGCGATCAGACGAACCCTTGAGGCACTTTTGACGCGCCCCTTCCTTTAAGGGCCGATTAAGGGGTAAGGGGTAAGTTGCACACATCTGGAACCCGAGGCTGCGGCTAGATATTGACCCGGGGAATCGATTGCGACCCTTATTTTGGCGATCAGACGAACCCTTGAGGAACTTTTGACGCGTCCCTTCCTTTAAGGGCCGATTAAGGGGTAAGGGGTAAGTTGCACACATCTGGAACCCGAAGCTGCGGCTAGATATTGACCCGGGGAATCGATTGCGACCCTTATTTTGGCGATCAGAGAAACCCTTGAGGCACTTTTGACGCGCCCCTTCCTTTAAGGGCCGATTAAGGGGTAAGGGGTAAGTTGCACACATCTGGAACCCGAGGCTGCGGCTACATATTCACCCGAGGAATCGATTGCGACCCTTATTTTGGCGATCAGACGAACCCTTGAGGCACTTTTGACGCGCCCCTTCCTTTAAGGGCCGATTAAGGGGTAAGGGGTAAGTTGCACACATCTGGAACCCGAGGCTGCGGCTAGATATTGACCCGAGGAATCGATTGCGACCCTTACTTTGGCGATCAGACGAACCCTTGAGGCACTTTTGACGCGCCCCTTCCTTTAAGGGCCGATTAAGGGGTAAGGGGTAAGAGCTAGGGGCAAATAAAGGTCATATTCTTGCTCCCCGTCCCCCAATTGACCTAATATGAGTTTTTTAAGCGATTCTGAATCCGACGCTGTATTCGTTGCTGTTGCTGACGCTAACTTCACGGACATGAATATTTTAGAACAAAATTATAAAGAACGAAATAACCTCCCATCAACTAGCCAATAATTGAATAGTTGTCTCTCCTTCACAAGGCTCCGGCAGCGTCTCTGATAGGGCCATTATGTTTAGATTACCTACAGTTATCCGCAATGACTTGTTATAAGACCTCTAAAACACTATTTTACCGCAAACGTCGGAAATGCCGATCAATCATTCAATAACATAACTACCTTTGTAGGTCATACCACATTTGTCTGTTAATAGTAGGTTCCCCCTATCGCTCTTCAGCAATACCATAATATCGAAGCCTACATATACTACATAGACTCTTCGTTTATAAAGATCTTACAACATAGATTGTAACAATGTTGTATAATTAACTCGAAGAGAACTGGAATAGATAAAGAGAAACCGATTCCATAAAAACCGGCACAGTATGAATAAGAAATATCCCTTCAAAGTTCAAATCACAGTAGAACGAGACCCAATGACTAAACGTGTTGCCGAAACCGAGCGGCTACCAAACTATGTAAACTGAGACGGAAGGGAGCCTTTGGGAGGCCGAGATGACATCAAAGTGGATATTGGAATGGGAAGACAATCAGCGACAGCTCCCTCGGTGGATGTTAAATCGCATTCTGCAACACTCTCATCTGGAGCTTTCTAACAGTACTGAGGGACTATGTATGTAGCGTTATTTACAGATATGAGTCTGTAATCTGTCGTTAGGTACAAATTACAGTGGCCATTGGCTAACTATATACTGATTCTGTTTCTCGTACGGTTAACAGTTGCATTAGTGTACAACAGGCCATGATAATACAGGTTACCACTTTATCGGATTATCCTTGCTCCTTCCTTGCAACATCTAAGTGCAGATAATCATAATCCGCGAGCGAATTCACGTCGAGTCCCCAAGCGTTTGTCGATTGAAGACATATCGTTATATGAGGAACTGCAGAGTACCGACCGAGATGCAAAAATATCCGAGATGCACATTTTGCGTGTATCCGGCATCCGGAAAATGAGGGATAATTATCCGGGATCACCGGTAGTTATTTGGTATTGCAGGGACCATTAAAGTAATAAGTCACATTTTTAGATTGATTTTGCTTCACGAGTGGCTCTTTTACTCGTTGTCATGTCCGTTTTGCACGGTGTCAGCCTAAAATACCGAATAACCCCGGTGATCCCGGAAAAAATTTATCCCTGATTATCCGGATGCCCAACGCACGCTTTGTACTTCATGCCATCTTGGCATTCGCCACAGTTGTTTTAACTTTAAAACCCTCGATCGACGTGTTTTTATCTATATCGTCTAAGCACTCATTTTCTTAAGTGAATCGTAAGTATCTTATCGTAAGAAGTTGAACGCTAACTATGTCTCAAGTACTTTCTGGGTCGATTGTTTCTGGCGATGGGTATCTTTCCAAGTTATACGAGTGCATAAACATTGTCAACTAGCCGTTGTTGCAGAACAATGAGCTCAGCTACATGGTTTATTGTCTTGGTCCCGTTCCACATTCTCCCAGCTAGCCAACACTGAACCGTGGAGGGTGAGTTTGCTCGCCCACCAAAGGGAACGCTCAAAGCCTATCAGTGAACGGTGTGAAGTGTGCATTGTACGTCGGTGCGACTGCAAACGGGCCTTGTGCGGCGATAAATAGCGCCCTGTTTACGGCTGAGTGAGCGGCACTTGGTGCGCTGTGTAACAGGGGCGTGTCGGCTGTTCGTTTGGCGTCCACTGCACCCGACATCACCCCCTGACGGCCTGGTTTGCTGGTTTGACGGCTGTGCTGCCCGGCAGTCGCCGTCCCAGCGGACAGTCCTGCTACTTTACCAGCCGAGGACATGCAAGCTGTGTCCTTCACGGTGGTTACTGAGCTGCCCCCACTGCGGCCAGTGCCGTATTATACTGCATGCGAATGGTCCTGAAGCCTGCTTTTACTATATAGACAGGGTTGGGGCTGCGCGGGTGACAGCCACGCCCCATACCGTCACAAAGTATCGGCCTCGCAAACGGACATCATAAACAAACCGTCATGTCCAATTTTCATCGGATGGGTATGCAGCTTTTTGTCTTTGGGCACAACAATATTTGTGAGAACTCGACAATAATAAAATTTCTCGTATCCCAATGTATTTTGACGCAATCACAAAATTTTCCATCTACACTTCGCCAAACGGCCAACGTTCTGGACTTGGAGATCAGTGGAACACAAAAATACCTTGGCGACGAAATTCGTTCAGCAAAATATATGCCTATCTTAAATGCTACGGAGAGTGTTTAATATAATTTTTAGCCGAACGGTAAAACATGAAGACAATATAGTTGGTATTGTTCAAAATAGTATTAAAAATCATGCATAACTCCAGGGACATCGCTTCTTTTGCTTTCTTTTACTGTCAATCGCTCTTAACCCTCGCCGGCACAGGCCATTTTGAGTCCTTCGACGGCACAAGGGGGGGGGGGGTTGGTACGACCCCCCCTCGCGTTTGGCCCCTGATCGAGCTAGAGCTTCGCGGAAAAAACGAGCGTGTTGCCCGTCACGAGAGGAAGCCGATGATATCCAATTTTAAGGTCCTAGGTCATCGGGTGACCTTCCAGGTCAGGTCAATGACCCGAAAACCGGGAAAATCGGGACCTGTTAGAAAGTCGTAAAGTGTGGCTGCTATGTGGTTTTCCGGGGTGCTGATCACGAATATCGTGTTAGTTTTGATCATAGATGATGTCTTTAAGCATTTAGACCAGGTCGGGTCAGGTCAGGTCAGGTCAACCGGTAGGGGTTGTGACGGGTATTCGTAATACGTGTCAACCACCTCGGACAGCTTTGTAACATGTTACGAAGGCACCAAAACTACTTCGTAAATGTTCAAATGGTTGCTAAATTCGAATTCAGCTCCAAAAACTAGCCTAGAAACATGTAAAACTCGAAAAAGTGAACCGAGGTCACCCGAGGTCACCAAAGGTTAATGACCTGACCTGACCTTCAGGTGACCTTGACACCCACCCTTATGCATGGGAGCAACATCAAATCACATGTTTGAACGTTTGAAACCACGAAAAGCTTGCAAACGCGCGGCTAATGCGAGCCGACATACGCCGAACCGCGATTTCGGCCAAACATGGTCACATAAAAGAGGTCACAGGTCAAAGGTCATTGGGGTCAGGGTCATGAAATTTTCAGGGTAGGTGTAAAATTGATCAATGCGAGGATACTGAAAGTTTCGTCGCGATCGGCCGCTTTTTACGCGAGTTATTCGCGAAAAACCTTACGGGGGGTTGCATCAACCCCCCCCCCCTGTGCCGGCGAGGGTTAATCATCTGAGGATCACCCGGGATGGCCCAGGCCATGAATGACACTGAATACACTATATCTGAGGGGCTGATTCAGTATGGCCCTGGTTACCTTCAGTGACCAGTTGAGGTATGGCCAGGTCTGATCCAGTACGATACGACCCCATGTGCCGGACATGTCCTTTGTGACCCGTGTGACCCGTGTCGCGTACGTCTACGGTCCCCGGTACGGCCGCCCGGCACGGCACCAACTCGTTGGTCGCGCGCCGACGGCCGTGCTGAGGCCGTGCTCGGTATTTAACGGCGGGGACCGGCGGCGGGCGGCCACCGGACCGGCGGCGGACCAGCGGGGCGGCCACCGGACCATCGCCGGACCATCCCGGACCATCGCCGGACCATCGCCGGACTGGCTGGTGGCAGCATGACTTCAAGCCAGGTAAGAACAGCCCACCCCGCAGCGGACGCATTTATTTTTTACTATAGTAAAGTTCCCTTGGATTTCTCTCAGCGTTGTGAGCATAAGCTAGTTGAACAAGAATCCGCAATATCGTTTTAAACAACAATGTTTTCTTCTTTTTTATCTGAACAAGATTTAGAAAACATTTAGTGAAAAATGAGCAAAGCGTATGGCTCTCCTATTACAAAACCCTATATGCAACTGTCTCTTGGCTTACGATAAATGAAAACAGCTCGATAAGAAATGACGACGGCTTAAAATTTCCGTTCCAACACAAAAAAATATAACAAGATGGATTAAACATTCATAATGTATCCATTATACCTGCAGTTCAGTATCCCATAAGACCGCATTTTTCCATAAACTTATGGCAAAATATCTGAAACAAAGAAGAAGACAAACCAAAAATAGCTATTTCCTAATCAATTTTCACTACTCATGAGTCGATTAGTTTGAAACTAGACAATGAAATAAGCGAGAAGGCTTGTACTGCTGCTTGTTGGCATGCTCTTCTGAAGGCACTTTCAAGCTCGGTACCGATCAACGCCGATCTCCCGTTTGCCGCATCACAGGCGATCGGTGAATCGGTCAGTTGATTGGCGATCAACTTCAATCAGCTTATACTATTCATTACATTTATACTATAGACCAGAATATTGTTAACATGAACAGCTTTAGACTTTTTTCTTTGCTCGTAATTCGTAATTTCATGGTATTCTTTTGCGCACTATTACCCAACACTATATTTAAAATTCTGTTTTTTCCTCAGACTGGGAAGGTGATGTCCTTAGACAGTTCTCTTATTCGTAAACGGTACGACTGCATTGGGAAATGACGCTTGCGTATTGTAGATGTTCCATTCATTTTTCAGCAACGACATCTATTCAAACACGTCTTCGGCTACTGCTTCTAGGGCTAATTAAGTTATTGAAAAGCAAAGCCTTGCACAGCCATAACCCTCTCGAGTATTTTCATATTGCGCCCAAGAAGAGCACGGGACCGTCGCGCCGGTCTGCGTGATCTTATTAGGGCCGGTTGTCAGTTCAAGAGATGTACGACGATTCCCTGGGCGCCCTCAAAGAACAGACGGTTTCGAGCACTCCCTCCAAAGGCGGGCATGTACATATAATGAGCTTCTTGCTTGCTATCAGTATCGTGCACTTCGTACCATATCTACTGAAATCCTTTCAAAAGAATCGCATCCTAAGGTAATGAGTAGACATACTTCTCATTCTTGTTCGCCGTCGGCTCCCATCGAACTCGTCCTATAAATTAGAAGTCAACAACTATTTAAACACCGCTAATTAACCAAAGAAAATACAAAACAACGCCGCTATAAGACATACATTAACAGAAAAGTTGTGTTCACCTTACATCATGGTTGAATGGCGAACGTTCGTCACACTGGCATCACGCTTGCCGTCTCCAACGCCCCGGCCTCACCTCACCCCTCCCCCGTCCTGTCCGATGAAGCGCGCGGTCAGCCATTACGTCACCCGTTCACATACCTCATCGGTGCTGTATTTCACCCGGCGGGCAATCTGGTGTTCCGATTACCCCAGCCGCTGGTCGTTCCCGAGATGTTAAATATTCACAAATGTCTGCTGACCTGACGGGCCGAGTGGCTCAGTTTACTGAGTGCGTCGCCGGTCACCGAGTGCCTGGTCCGCGCTTATATCGTCCTGCAGGACTGGACACGGGGCATGGTCGCGGAGCCGCTCAGGTCAATGGCGAATCGGCAGCAACAGCCACCGGTGGACGCGCTCACCACAATACATAAATCATACACTTCATTTCCGTCAGGTCCTGTGGACAATCGATTGTCTCAAGCACACCGATTGCGGCAGTTTCGTATATTGACGTGCACTCGATGGCATATTGTACAATGCACATATCTGACCTCAAAGGTCACTTGTCACTGCAGTCACGTGTTCGAACGGTAGACCGAATCATATTCGACTGTGATAGGAGGGCGGGACCGGCGGGACTACATGCCCGACCCGACTACATGCATCGGTCATGCACGAGCCCGATACAAAAGCAAAGGCCCAAACTTTATAAAAGGTATTCTGTGGTCTCAAGTATGTAAGTTAAGTATCTGGATCTTGATCTGGTTCGATTTAAGTATTTGGATCTAGAAGTCTCTGCTCACAGGCTTTCTTTTAACGGTAATGATGACAAAACATATATGCCTACCAAACGATGAACGGCATTGGATGCCAATTGCGAAGTGAATGAAAAATACAAGAACAATCTTTTACGCACTTGCAGAAATTTTCCACTCCATTCCCCGTATTCTGCTTCATTGCCTAGACCGCAGTCACCATTGTCCTGCACCCGGCACCAATGAGAAAACGGAGTGTCCGATGGCACTAGCTCATACCATTCGTGGACTGCTCTTCATTTCTCCCCCAGGATACTGCGGCGACGAAATGTTATACTTACATGCGAACATTGAATGGATTATGAATAAAATACCAGTGGCATTTTGGTACCTATTAGCCAATTGAAAACTATTGTCATTCCTAATCGTTGATAAACTGCTAGACTTAAAACCGATTAATCCGCGTGACATCCAAGCACGGTTTTAACATATGAAATTAAAAGGCACTTATGGCCCAACAATGGGAAAGCTGTATCGCATAAATTCAGAAAATGAAACCATTTTTCCGACAGGCTCAGGTTCAGCTTTTATCGGATCTGTGAATGTAAAACTATTTTCATGATCGTAAGACTTTCCCTGGGCTTTTACAGTGCTCTTTTGTCCCCCAACTGCCATCATTTCATTGTAAGCCAAGCGAATTTTTTTTGTTCTTTCCATTTCCGGGCATCAAAGTGCAACGACATGCCCCGACAGTGAACAGCATGCTGATTATTACCTACATTGGATCTGTAATATGATTTTGTTATCTGTTGTTTACTTCTAAAACGGAGTCGAACTTAAAGGGACCCTCCCACCTTAAAAAAAAAAGTTTATGAATTGGCATGAAAGTGATGCCGCTCGGTTCAGGAAGAGCGAAAACGAATATCTACCAAATTTCACCGAAAAATATTCACCGGTTTTCAAGATATTTGACTTTTACTTTTGTTTACTTTTTTGGGATCTCCGCTGTTTCTAGCGACTTTATTTTAGAAGTGCGGCGTTTGCGGCAGATGTTGCGCGCAAATAGCATATACCACCGCCTGCTACAAAACGTTTTAGTCAAACATTTAAAAATCGTTAGATATTTGCGCTGACGTCACACATTCAGAGGGGTATTCCTTAGCATTAGCCCCTCTGAATCAAAATGCTGCAATTTTGAAATTCAATATTTCCGATTTAAGGCATTTCTCGATGTTGTGAGTGCCGAAACCGGTAATTGTGAGCCAGGGACCCCATTTTGGCTATCTCAACTCAAATTTAATGTTAAGGTGGGAGGGTCCCTTTAATGCTTACCATCCTGACTTAAAACTTCCCTCATACAATAAACGGGTCTAACCAAACATGTCTTCCACCACAAATACTGTGCTCCATCATTGATGTATGCAAGCACAACGCACAGCGATAAGCGAAGCCACAATATCGCTGTAGCTCAGCCACAATAACCTATAATTTGTTGAAACACAATCGGTATCGATGGCAGACATGCTGGACCGGCGGGGATCGCGATGTCCGAAGGTAGGCGGGCTGTAATCGTTGGGTAGGTATATTACACCGCTCGCAATGATGCACCCATCAGCAGGTAACCACCGACAGACAGCGCACCGGCCGCTAAACGCTCCCGACGATCGAGCTCAAAGCACTCACGGGAGTTTTCAGGCCTAGCGAGGTTTCAACGATAAAGTTTTGAATACAGCAGAGTAAATGCATGCAAATCGTGCAGAGTTAGATGTAATATCTGGTCATGAGCTGTGGAGTACGCCCACTAGTTAAATCACACGCAACGTGTGACCTCGGTGGGGCAAAGGGTCTGCCATTCAGCGTGCGAGAGCTGTGTAATCACAGTGAAGTGCAACAAGGCACGACAAATTGTGACGGTCCCACAGCACGCCCTCAGTGTGCATATATGTCGTCATGACGACGATTGTTACCCACGATGCAAGTGGAGGAGCCAGCATGGTCGGGCAGCTTATTTAGTAATACCGCGAATGTAGGCTTTCATTTTAATTATCTTCATCAGCAGCGTCGTCGAGCGCATGTGTTCAACAGCACGTATTGGTTCCGTTTCAAAAGTTGAAATTTGCTATGAAAATAAAACAAGCCAAAGTCCAAGAAAATGTCTATCTTTTTCAGAAATTGATACCGTTCTCAACCCATTCGCCTATGCTCACCAATGTTTCACCAAGCACAGCTCAACAGCATATTTTACAGCATATTTTCAATGGATTACCGAAAAGACCCACAACGATTGATGGTTGCCTAATGACTTGATGATGTCACGAAATTTTGAAGCTTCTGGACGTTCAGGCTAAAAGCCCACCGGCTGACGCCTTACTGAAACAAATGCCGAACGCTTTACGTGCCAGTAGCGAGCTCCAGACTAAAGCATCAGTTTGTTTAGGTATTTCTGGCTCATTGAATGAATGAATGAATGAATGAATGAATGAATGAATGAATGAATGAATGAATGAATGAATGAATGAATGAATGAATGAATGAATGAATTAGAAATTGACTAAATGAATATATTATTTACTTAAAAATGAACGAATCAATAAATGCATGAATTTATTAGTGAACTTTTTGCGCAGTCTCTAACTACCCAAAGGTCGGAAGGATCCTTGATATTTGATATTTGATATTATGTTTTGCTTGACATATCTGATGCAGTATTAGCCGAAGACAATGTTAGATGGGAGCGTGACACGAGATTTCGATGATGTTCATTCATTCCTCCATATTGCTGGCGCAACTTTGTTAACTTCCTTTCGTCATTAGTCAGCGAACTCCCATTTGAGAAAACAGAGGAGATACTGCAGCAACTTGAAATATTAACTTA